CAAAGCGGAGAGATATTTCACATCTTGTCACATAATCTTCCGCGCTAACTACCCACTGCTCAGCACAGTACGGACAGAAAAAGCTTGCGTTTCAAATCATACAGCAATCCTATTTTACAAGACCATCGTTTGTTTCAACCTATCCTTTCGAATTAACATTTTTGACATAAACTCAGGATAGGAGGAAATTTACATATTTATCCCGGGGGAGAAGATAGCCGATAGGAAGGCTTAATCATATGACAAACCACGGCTTCTCGCCAGTTACCATTCGATGTCGGGTATGGGATTAATTATTTATTTGTTTCCGAAAGCCTGGACTTGATGGCGAAGGAAGCCCTAACCGACCAGCGGTTACGTGAACCACCCTACGGCGGCGAGGAGTCCAGCAATCCTTTCGCACATAACTATCCCCGCATGGGATTCTAACCTGCGAACCTAACGCTTAACACGATTGTCCATAGCGGTGCGACTCACTCCATCAGGAACAAACATAGAACACGCCTCACTGATGAAAATCTGCAAGACTCGCTCAGAGTTACAGTGTCAAGTTACTCGTCGGTGTATAATACTCTGCAATATTTGATAGTACAACTGTTAAGTCCATTTTATCTTAGACTTGTGCAGAGTGTTGAAAATCAATTTAAAAACACTCAGTTTTGAAATACAAGTGTTATTGATAGAAATTTATTTGCAGCGTTGTGGTAATCGTTTGATTTCCTGAAGAATCCTAAAGTTTATTAGTGTCTATACTTCACTAAATACCAGTAATTATATCAATAATTATAGCCCAATCGATCAACTGATTTTTTTAGAAGTGAACATTGAACTGGTAGCCCGCAGCCTAATCTGTACCCCAAAAGTAGCCCTCGGCTTCGAAAAGGTTGGTGACCCCTGGTGTGGAGTATATAATGTTGAGCAATTTTTTTTAAGTGGATTTTAAGTATTCGGTCCAAGATGACGCACATCCTGAACACTAACCTGGTAAACATACAATGTTCAGGTTGTGCGCCATCTTGGTACGAATACTTCAAGAGCGCTTTTTTGTTAAAAACAATTATTTCATAACTACATGGTTTAGTTTTGCATACATAGTAACATTGAATCTCCTTACAATGTCAGAAATTCAATTTTAGCAGAATAAATGGTAGTTTATTTCACTAATACAAGCCAAGATCCATCGACATCATCTAGCCACTTTCTATTGCGCTCTTCAGACTACATTTGCGTTGCCGCGCGCATTTCGTTTTCCTAGTTTAAGCTTACGGACTTGGGAAATATTTTATTAGTTGAATTGGATTGGAATATTTGACCTCGTCTTTCCCTCCGAACAAGGCCATGTAAAACCATCCACTGGTATAAAGATGTGTAACGTGTTTTCTTTTGGAAAAACCGCAACCTTTCAGTGTTGCATTGACTTTGGCAAAATTAATATATCCTTGTGAAGATCGAAGGTATGCGTATGCGAAACCGAGATGTGCACCTGTTATGCCAACGTAGTTGAGTCAAACGTTTTGACTCGTGCTTCGGTTGTACCTAGTAACGCGCACATTTTTGCGCACATGCATCAAATTCCACTTGATTATTGAGCTATAGGTTTTTGACGAGCTTTTGTGTATGATTTCATCCCATAGAATTTGAATGCTGTTCTAAAGAATACTAGTTTCAGCTTTTCATTCATTCAAAACGCCTGTTGAAAGTAAGTTTTGTAATATTGCGTGTTGGTTTCCAACATCCTTTAATCGGTGATGCCAGTAAATCTTTAATACAAAAAGATCAGTAACATCTGCAATAAAAACAGCAGTATCCACTCAAATGACAGCTGGGGGATGGATACTCTTAGTATCTGCTCCATTGCGTGCCTCTTACTGTCTTACCAGTTTAGCCTACATGAGTGCCAATTGGTATCTAAGCTCAGCCAGAGACAAAAAGTTTCGGACTGCAGTTGGCGTGATGACATGTTTTTAAATATATATTCTACAATAAGATGATTTGATTGCATACTACAGAAAGTTCCGCCTTATATGTCTTTTCCCGTTGCACTATTCCTTTACTGATATTCGATAATATGACGCTCATCTGACATAGTTCTTAAAGTGTGTAGATGGGTATAATCTTTATCACGCTGTTCAGATGGGAATGCGCGAATATATATAAGAATTGCTAATATTGGTTTGCAATGCGATGAAATCCCATCTTGGCATTTCTGTCTTTCGCAATTGCTGCGTATACTTATCGGGGAAGTTCTGTGGCGTGGTTATCAAATGAAAAAAAAACATGGGAGTATTTTTTCCACTTCTCTACTACTATCAAACCTTGACATTTTGTGAAAACTTTTTTTCATGCAACCTTTTTTTAAAACATCCCCAACAACCACGATTAATTCTGTTATTAAACTTCCGGAACAAACACATAAAATCATCAACAGATGCATATCACCAAGTAAATATTGCTGAATTGATCTTTATTCTACCATTTTTCATGTATAGAATTCTTTTTGGTGACCTGTGATTTTTGATATTTGTAGTTAGAGCTCTTGGGGCTCTGTCAAACAAAGTTACATACAAAATATTGGTTGTAAATTGCAAAACATGATCATGTTGTTGGAATAACTTGGCATTTTACCACCCGTATATCATTCATTGTTGAGAATATTAATAAAATCATGAAATTTAAAAATCCGTTTTCGTGAAATTTTTGTTGTAGCTGAATTCCAGGGACAGCATGACAACAGGCAAGAGAAGCACGGTCGCCTCTTTTAGTTTATGACAGGGTTTCCTAAAAGAGCCCCCGTCCTCCTTGGAGGCCGCTGATCGGTTATCTGGGAGCACGAACAAACAGATGGAAATGCGAATATATAATTATAATGTATTTTTATAGAAGAGAAGAAGCAAAAGTGTTGAGAGTCTTTGGTAGTTTGAAAAGCATTGGCATGGAACATAAGAATGAACTACATTCTTTCCGAGGGATATACTATAAAATGTAGCAATTTTCTTATTCTTGTTCTCGTGATATCATTATCATTAACTGCGTCGTCGTGATCATCCCGCTGCATAACAATTCTTGGCTCTCGCTAACAAATAATTGACTGTTCTCCACCGGGTGTATATCCACTTGAACCACTGGCGACTGCATTAGCAGGCTTGTATTGTTAATTGCAACAAAAACGGGTATTTTGAAATAGTACTCTTTATTTTACGCGTACGCAACAAATACCTAAAAGTTATTGATTTTATTTCCTAGTAAATTTGGTGCTTGCGTAGTTTGTGCACCAAGATTGCGCACAACCTGAACATAGCATTGTAACAGGTTATGGTTCAGGTTGTGCGTCATTATGATGCACATGTCTGACGAAAAACACTAATACAAATATCTCAATAAATACCTAAAAGTTATTGATTTTATTTCCTAGTAAATTTGGTGCTTGCGTAGTTTGTGCACCAAGATTGCGCACAACCTGAAAATAGTATTGTAACAGGTTATGGTTCAGGTTGTGCGTCATTATGATACACAGGTTTGAAAATTGCTTAAGGCTGCAAACTCCACACCCATGTAGAAATGATGGGCAATGACCCCAAGATGAATAATCACAAATAAAAACAAGAGAGCTATGCTCAAATATATGGACACGTAGAGTCACATAATTTTGATGACGTCATAGCGAAAAAAAAAGTAATAGCCTTCTGGAGAAAATTTTTATCTTTAACCACTAAAAATTTCAAAGCAATTGGTCCAGTATTCGAAGAGAAAAGCGACTTTTTAAAAACGTGTCAAGCGGTACTGAGTTAGCAGTCAGGCAGCATCTTACCTGTACACTGTAGGCCATTTATACGGTAATTGATCACAGAACAGTTGTTCCCTTGCAAATTTTATGTTGTTTACACTTTAGGACAGATAATTGATCACAGAACAATTCTTCCCTTACACATTTTATGTTGTTTCCAGTAGACTCTCTTCAAAATAAACAAATGTAGTAGGCTACAAGTGCTACAACGCTTGCATTACTGCACTGGTAGGACCGTGAAAGAATAAGTTACGGTAATTTCATTGTGGTAAGACACCGGTACCGGCACCAGTACCAGTATCGTACTTACGTACTGAGCTACCAGTACCAGTTAGCAGTCAGCCAGCATCTTATCTGTACACTGTAGGCCATATACGGTACCGTAATTGATCACAGAACAGTTGTTCCCTTGCAAATTTTATGTTGTTTACACTTTAGGACAGATATTTGATCACAGAACAATTCTTCCCTTTCAAATTTTATGTTGTTTTCAGTAGACTCTCATCAAAATAAACAAATATAGTAGGCTACAAGTGCTACAACGCTTGCATTACTGCACTGGTAGGACCGTGAAAGAATAAGTTACGGTAATTTCATTGTGGTAAGACACCGGTACCGGCACCAGTACCAGTATCGTACTTACGTACTGAGCTACCAGTACCGGTACCGAACCTGTAGGTCTGATATTCCGTTCCGCATACAATAGGCTATAAAACTTGCATTGCAGCATTAGTAATACTGCGGAAGGAATAAGTCAATTTCACTGCGTTACGGTACCTGTATGGCAACTTACCAGTACCGACCTACAGTAGCTGTAGTACTGAGCAAGACAATCGATCGCGAAACCGCTTGAAATAAGTGTAAAACAGTGTTCCCATGAGTAAAAATAAATACCGCGAAATTTTGTATGAAATATCATATCTCATAGGATTCATATAAAATTTAAGAATAAACAAAAGTAATAGCCTTCTAGCGAAAAAATTAATCTTTAACCACTGAAAATTTCAAAGCAATTGGTCCAGTATTCGAAGAGAAAAGCGACTTTTTGAAAACGTGTCAAAGAACAAGAACAAGAACAACAACAACAACAACAACATAATATTGAAACGATCGTTATGTCCACTACGTGTCCAAAAACTTCAGACTTGGGCCAAAAAGGTCCCTTTATCTGCCGGACTACTAGTCAGTCAACCATGTACGCGGGTCGAGTCGAGTGTACAGCTCAGCGAAGTACACGTCACGAAAATCTGTAAAAACATATTTCTGTATTTTGAGACGTTTGCACAAAATTACGGAATTATACCGCAATACCGGCACTATAGGTTTGTAGGTATATTAGTCTATATTAACCTTTTATACAAGGCTATTGCAATGCATTGAAAGCTATCCGGGGTTTACCGTACTGCCGTAACAGTTCATAAAGTTCGTTACTTTCTCGCGCTCCTACCTTTCATTAAAATATCATGTTAACAAGAAGATCATTACTGCAGTAAATACCGAAATACTCAATTATAAAATTGATATAGTTGTATACAGGTATAGCGGTAAAGATATATCTGTGTGTGGTATATTTTTCAGATTTCAGTATATTGTTTACTGCTTTAATTAAAATATCCAGTACCGGTAGTACCTACTGTATTTGGGTATTGAAAGAGAACTCTGGGTAAAAGAAATTTGTGAATTTTTGTTATATGGCAAGTATGGAATAAAATACCTGAATACACACAAGACAGCAAGATGGTTTTGATGACAATGATTGCAAGGGTGGCAGATGGCCTTGCATTAGCAGCTTCAATACAAGAAGATGAACAGGTTATTATATTCTGATATCTTATGTCACATTATCAAGTTGCTCTAGTAACAGGAATTACAGAATTAATCTCCACAAGCTTTTTTGACAATTGAAATGTAAATGCATTTTGCATTTATTGTATACCCATGTTCCGAATATCCCATACAATTGGTGTAGAAAAACCTCGATTCTTATTTTTGATTTGATAAATAAAAACAAATTAATCAACTTAAATGTAAGTGAAACCTTTGCACATGTATACAGTTGAAAAGTGTTGATGATACTCAATGATAGGGTTATGGATAAGTTCAAACGTTGTGTATTTTTTCAGTTATTTCCAAAGACTCAAATTTCAGAATTTAGAACAGTTAAAAAAATATACTTGAATTTTTGGTTGCAGGTTGGTCGCAGTCTAACAGAATATCAGAATCAAGCAAAACTGTTATTTCGAAAATTAAATCAACAAAGTCCGGACCGATGCACTATTGAAACTCCACCTATGCTTTTTCAGTGAGTTTGTAGTTCTCTAATTGTTGTTGTTCAATTTAATGAAATGGCTGTAATATAATTTAGAATATTTGAAGTATATGTATGGTATCATTCATGTATGCTATTTGAAAATTATATTAAAATATATAAATAGTTTTATATATGAAGTTCTACTGGTTAAGGATTTGTTTATAACCTAAACCGCACAATGTTGAAATTGGTTTTTGAACGATTGATCCAATGGATATACTATATTTTACTTCCATGAAGCATTTTTGTTGCATTCCTGTAGTATCTGATATCTATTAAAATCTACAAGGTTTCTGCATTCAATACATCTGTATACTATCAAAGAATATTACTTCATGAGCCAATCTTCGATTAGGGAGTTTCTTTCTGAATTGCCTGATATTCTTCAAATTGTGTATTTTATCTCGCATTGTAGGAAATGGCATTTATAACTTAGTTGTTTTACAGCTATTTGATTGATAAGGGGATATGTTATCTTGTTCTGTGTGAAAGATCATTCAGTAAGAAGCTTGCTTTTTCATATTTGGAGGAGTTAAAATCAGAATTTTTTGTGCAATATGGAAATAGAGTCAATTCTGTTTCTAGACCTTACGCTTTTATAGAATTTGGTAAGTTTTTCATACTCTGTACTTACTGGAGGCTGGAGCAATTAATTTTGACCTCCATGCTGATATTTTGTTTGGCCTGCTTTGGTTACCAATGACTGATATAAATTAGGAGTTGATGACTTGTTGCCACTCAGTAATAATTACATTCTTTAAGGCTGATTATCTGCCCATACTATTGACAGTCTGTTATATTGTTCTGGCTATTGTCAAAATCCCATTTCACTGATAGGCAGGTGGTAGAATCATTGGAATATCCTCACAGAAAGCTAAATACTGAACAAGTTACGGACGATGACAGATGATATTTTTCATTCATTTACTTAATATTTCATATTTATTTGCGCATAATGCAGTATTTATTTAATTTTCAGATACTTATATTCAAAAAACTAAGAAAGCGTACACTGATACCAGAACAAGAAGAAATTTAACTCATGTTGCGAGTGAGTTACAAGATGTACAGAGGATTATGGTATCTAATATTGATGATGTTCTTCAACGAGGAGTTGCTTTGTCAGGTATTGATTATTAAAACGTTATATATAAACGTTTTTTACTAGATAGCACACTACACTGGTTTGTAAAGTAAGTTACCTCAGGATGAATATTATTATTCCTAAATGTAGCAAATTATGATAAAATATTGCAATTTTCTTTTGAAGATATTACATACCGGTAATGCTTTTATTTGCTAAAATTCGTTTTTTTTTTGATTATGGTAAATATTTTTTCAATACAATGCAAACTGTTTATTATTATTTTTCGTTCAGATCTTGGTGACAAAGCGAGCAACTTAGCAACGCTATCGTATAAGTACAAGCAAGATGCACACTTTCTTAATCTACGGTCTTCCTATGCTAAGATTGCTGCCATAATTATACTTTTGGTCATATTTCTCATATATATAAGATATTGGTGGTTATGAGTTACATAACCTTATACTTTGATGCTTCACAACTGATTGCCACTCTACCAGCAGTCAAGATCTTATCCTGTAATGCGCGATAGAAATGCCTATATATTTGTAGTTTGTTTTTGTGGAATTATTCCCTATATTCCATCAGTCCAGCAGGCTGTTCTCTTCAAGAAATCACAGAACATATTATAATCTTCAGCAAGAGTTGAACAATCACATACATATATTGTGCCCCAATTTGTAATTAATTGGAAGTATTCAACAGATCAGGCTAAATACATCCATCATTGTTCCTTTTCCTACATTGTAATCCTGTTTTATGTTGTTTGTCTGGTTAATGTGGCATTTATTAAGTGTTGTTTTCTACTACTTGCTCAACAAATGCGTGGTGTAACTTCACTTCTAATATAGTTTGTTGTATTATGACAGCCTATTATACATGCATGATCTTTTAGCACAATATTGGTGCTGCCGAGTGCAATGCGTGGAAATCTGTTGTTTATTATGACAACTTTAAAAATTTCAATTACATCTATTTGTATGCTTGTTGAGGTGCTGAAAAGCCCATTCAGAATTAAACCTTATTTGAAAATATATGAAATGCTTTTCTGAATGACTTTATGAGGCAGTTATTCTGATTTGCTGACATACACGAACCGTTACGATCCTCTTAACGAGTCAAAAGATGTATCTGGCGTTTTCCATAGCTTTTCTGTGTTACAAGATCTTGGTTGAAGTTGAGGCATAGAAAGCTGTACGATGACTTGTTGCCAAAGTCGATGGCTCAGAAACAGCCGTCTCATAATATCGCCACTCAACGCCGTCCTGGACCAAAGTACGTACATAGCGTTGGTTTTCAGTGAGCACTGGTCACAAGAGGTATCGCTTGATTGACATCACACCTATCAGAATTCCGTATTAAAGCCCATATAAATAAATGGAGATGAGCATTTCAGGAAGTATGTAGTTATCACGCGTAACACGAGTTATGAATGACATACGAGAGGAGGCCAACGTGTCGATCGCCGAAATCGGATGGTCGAGCGCATTTAATGTTGACTAAACAAGTGGTTCTCCACAGCGGTCGGTCCGCGTCAGCCCTGGCGCATATTCCCAAGTTTTGAGTTATTTAACTGCTAAACTGTGAATATAAGGAAACTAAAAACAAATTTTCATCTTGATCTTTGCCGACTTCAGCAACTGTCGGTCAATCTTTAAATACACTCATGTTCCTGGGACTGAAATTAGGAACAAAACTTGAATTTTTCGAGGTTTCAAAGTTCTATAGCCTACTACCTCGTACGTAGGGATTTGTTCAAGAGTATTTGTAATCAAGTTTTTTGCCTGTTTTGTTTAAAATGGCTGTATTATTTGATTTTTTTGTATTAAATAGATCAAAACTAAAAGAAGAGAAATGAATGTAAGTACTTGCCAATTGCTTCTTATTCGCAAAAAAACATTCCAAAAATCCAAACACCACAAATATCGATGACTTGCCCATATTCGCCGTCGCAAGCTGTAGCGCAATGCGCCCGCACTGTGATTGACGGAGGAAGACGCAAACGATAAGCCATTGCGTGAACCATCTTGCGACGGCGAGGTGCCCAGCAACCCTCTTGCTCACTGTCACAAAACTCACGGGATTCGAACCGGGCCGGGTATACCCATAGTTAGGCTTAACATACGTCACGCTTCAGGCGGGACAGTCCCGTTTGTTAGCGTCTTGTCCCGCCGTCCCGACAAGTCAGCCAAAAGTCCCGCTTTGGCGTTCAGCCATCCAGCATCATACACCAAAATGTTCTCGTTACTGTTGTTGCTGTGTAGCGCAAAGCTAGCCTACTTACTGAAGGTGAATGCGTTGTTTTGTATGTTCCGTTGTTTCCCGCTAACATTGTTAGCGAACGTATCACATGTAAAATCAATTCTAATTGGTCCTGTTGGGAATGTAACATTGAACAACGTCTTTCTGAAGGTGTGATCCACAGAAAGCATGCTTGGGCGAATAAGTAAATTGTCAATGCTTGAAAACAGCAGACTATTTCAATATTCTTTATTCCTTTTGCTGTACATCAAAAAATCTAAATTCGAATAGCGTCTATTTCTTTCTATTTTTCGAACTGAACCCCAATATTTAGACAGAGAATATGTGCATGAACTCTCGATGACAATATAGTCAATAAAGACAGCCGGGATGGCTTTAAATGTAGGCCTATGTAGTAAAATCGGAAACTGTAAAGTTACAGGAGGCGTCCCGCTTTGAAGTAAAAAAATATGATAACCCTACCATTAGTCAAGGTAGGCTGAAGCTTCGGGTCCCTTCGAGGGCCTTGAAAATCAATTTTAAATTGTTTTTAAACTGTGAAGGATCGTTCCAGTCCAATGTCAGTTTAAAACTTTATAGATCTCGTATTTGTTCATTAATAATTCCAAATATTTACCGTCTAAAATATGGAAACTGAAATACGGTTGAATAATTGAATTTCTATAACTTGGAACTAAATCCCTCCAACCTTAAAAACAAAGTATGGTTATTAAAATTAACTGAACAGTCTTTATCGTAATGATGCCTTTATTTTAAGCCTGTGAGCTATTTTTTATAATTTGGAGCTCCCGAAGTATTTGCACCAAGATGGCGCACAACCTGAACATAGTATGTGTACCAGGTTAGGGTTCAGGTTGTGCGTCAAGCGGGAGCGCTCATAATTTTCCTTGCCTTTTCTTATTCGAAACGTCTCCCTGATATCTCGAATAAACATTCTTGTTAAAATCTTATGACTTGGCGATAAAGTTACACGATGAAAGTGAAAGCAAGAATTTTTTCCTACATTTTTGAAATTATTATTCCGGCAGCGTGTGCAGCTGCCAGCACGCAATGTTTTGGCGTAGTTTCACGGTGATGCAGGGGGTATTCAAAAAAAGATTAAGAAAAAATTTGATTTATAACAAGCCCTTGTTTTAAAACAGACATTTTTTTAGAATTGATAAAAAACAAAACCCTACTCTTACGAGATAACGAAGCCCGAATACGTTCTCGGGAAAGCCGGCTTTTGGGGTTCAAAGAGTCAATAAAAGCAAGCATGCCGTAGAGGTGTTTGTATAAAACAATAGAGCTCAAATACAAGGGAGGGCGGGATTTAGGGGACTCGTTCTTGAAATTGTAATATTAAGCTATAATAAGTTCGGCATAGTTTTCGGAAATGATGGAACCCAGTGGTTCTTAGTGAGTTCTAAACTTTTCTCCCGTTTCAATGAGTTTAATTGAGACGTTGGGTTTAAGATTTACTTCTCGTCCATTTTTGCATGACTTTATTAATTAACAACCGACCAGTGAATCGCAACATATTACAAAGATTTTTGTCGATCTCAGTCGCCAAGAGAGGTTGACCACCCCTGATATACAATATTACAATACTTTTGCATTTGTGATATTTTTTATGCAGAATAATAAAAATAATAAAATGGCAGCATAGAAAAATTCAGCTAGAATATGATTTTGCGGATGACTACGAAAAAGATGGAATAGAATTTACAAGTGAAAAAAAATATGCTCAATTGATCTGAGTTTAACTCCTTTTCATAAATACACAAGCAGTTTAAATATATTTTCAGTTACTGCAAGTATTAGGTACAAAACTCAAAATATAGAGCGCAAGAAGATAAAAACATGATAATATTTAGTTGTATATTTTATTGTCACAATATAGATTTGCAGCATAGATATGTTACCACAGATATCTGATAACTTCCATCCGATCGTTTAGCTTGACATTATACTTTTGACTTGAGGTGTGAGATTTGCTATATGACGGAAATAAACATTGCTTGGCACCAACATTTGGCATAGGGTATTGATTCTTAAGTTGCATCACGAAATATTTCAACAAATTAGAAAAATATGAATTCCGGTGAAATAGTATTTGATATAAAGTGAAAGTCCTTAAACAACAAGTGCATACAACAAAACTTTAATAGCAGCCATCTATTAGAAAACACTAGTAGATATTAATAAGTGTTGCTTATTTTAGAAATAGCAGCTTGAATCTTGTAATAACATTATTAAATCATTATCATTTGTTTTTCTAATATATTTCAAATGAGAGTATAATTGCAAACTGAAGACGACCAAATTACTATCTCGTTACATTATAAAAATACTATTTTCAATATGAAATGACAAGGTCTAATTTTGTAGGTGTTCAATGAGTGCACAACTCATTTTTGGGTACTTCTGTAGTATGCGTCCCACGATGGCGGACACCGGAACAAAATATGTGTACCACAGTACCAATTTCATTCCAATTTTCCTTACTTTAGTTCCATTACGAGTTCGGGGACTAGCCAATTGACACCTGTAGTATTTATACATGAAACTATGGCCTGATCCAAAGCTGGTACACATACTACATTCTGGTGTCCACCATCTAAGTTCACATACCACAGGAGTACTTGTTGTGTGAACAGAATTAATATCTCAAAACAACAAATTTTCAAATGACAATATGCCAATTTCTAAAATCATATAATTATGATATCCCACAATTTTTATATGCCATAAATGATAATGAATTGGTACAATAAATTCAACTTCTGTTTGCTCAATAATATGATCAATAATCAATATATGATCAAATATCAATATAAAAAAAAACTTAAAAGGAAACAATTTAATATAAAACATCAGTACTTGATTCGTATAGAAATCTCAGAAAAATTAGGGTGACCATATTTATATGAATAGAAGAAATACTGCAGTATTAGTTACTTACGCTATGCATAATACAAATATAAAAGAGGCTTAGTTATCAGACAATAACTAAAAGATTAATTTAATTTTCCTTATCGTATCACTGAATGTGCCAAATTTGCTATATGAAAAGTAAGGTAAAATAGGCTAAAAAAGCAACAAGGCAAGTAAAAAACTTCAAAGGAACAATTACTAAAAGGTTCTATAGTAAATACAATTCTAGGGATTTAATAGAAAAGATAAGAAATTGTTGACGTGAAATGTTTATAAAAGTATAAGACTATCTTTTTTCATAAAAGTAATATCATTTCATGTATAAGATAACTAATTTCATTTGAAAAAGTTTGTCTATACTGCATTTTACGATTGCGATCTTTGGAATTTTCAAATCTACCTCCATTTCTTGATAAAGACTGTAGTTTTTCAGCCTTTTCTCGAAATTCGAATCGATTATTAGATGGGAATGATGATATTAATGATAAAGCTTCAGCAGAGAGATCGGTCAATTTCTGGGTTGCTTCGGAAGTTACTATCTAGAAAAAAAACACACAAGTGAATATAAAATAGTTAACATATAAATACTTCAAATACATAAAGTATATTCAAAAAAAGCAGTCGGGAGTAATCAGTTATACAGCAGCAACATCTCGTCGATGTGGCGCATCATGCTATTGCTAAGCGTTAGGAATGCGCTTACAACCGCACTTCTGATAGTGATTACCTTGTATGGGTTCGCAGGTTTGAATCCCATGCGGGGATGGTCATGTGCGAGAGGATTGCTGAACTCCTTGCTGCAGTAGGGTGGTTCAATGTAACCGCTGGTTTGTTATATGATCATGTCTTGTCTTACTCTTATTGGCTTTCCTCTCCCCCAGGATAAATATGTAAATCTTATCTGTATGTATACTGTGAAGCAGCAAAATCATACAAAACTTAAATATAAAACGAGATTTAAAAACTCACCTGATCCTCTACCCAAGACTTCAGAATATTCTCAGTCGCAATGCAATTTTCTTGAAAAGATACTTTTGACACTTGCTTGCTTGGTGACTGTTGAGCAGCAATTAGTTTATTCATCCCAACAGTGTTTGATTGTGAACTCACTCTAGGCTGAGGCGTAGGTGTAATTACATTTGTTTCTTCAAGTGTAAATGCTGACTTACTGGTGGGTGATAATTGTGTGGCATCTCTATACGTGGATACTGTTTGGACATGCAACCTAGGCGCGGGATGGAATTTTGATCCATGCAAACCCATGGAATGTAATTCAGAGTTCTTAACATGTCCTTCGCTGTCACCCGTTGGGGGTGGTGAAGGAGGAGGTGGGAGGGGAAGATTCGGGGAAAGTTGAAAATCTTTGTTCAAATTTCTCGATTTGAATTTATGTGGTGGGGTAGGGGGCTTAAAGTTTGGTGGTGGAGTCTCTGGTGTTGAATCACCAGAGCTAGCTGGTCCCCTCAGAAACAAGTTATCAAGAGTTTTGTGGCTCACGGGAAGTCGCTTCTGCCTTGTAGGCAAGTTGCTCGGACGCTTGGCAGCAGATCCATCAGACTTTGTAGGTGGAAGTCTTGCTGGACAATGAGCAACTTTCATCGGCATTTGAGGAAAAACAAATGCTTTCGATGATGCACCTGGTAATTTTTTTACACGAAAATCCTCACCATGTAAACTGTCTTCATCTGTATTTTTGGTTGAATCCCGACTGGGACTGGTTGGAGTGGCAGGAACACTAGAACATGGTGTGACCTGTTTTTGGTATCGGTTTGGCAACAGTTTCATACCAGATTCTTCTCCAAATGGGGAGCGAGCGGTTCTTGCACTAAATACGCTAGATTCATGACCTGCGTTTTTATCGTCTTCAACCGAACCAGGAGAGACACCAGCCGATGCTGCACTCGATGATGATGTCAAAGATGACGTTTTTCTTCCTGTAGAATCCCCCGGTTTTGCAACTCCGACAGGTTTCTTCCAAGAACTCCGAGAACTGTTTCGGGTAAAAAATCCACCAAATGATGAATGTTTTGACTTTGGCTTTGAGTCTGAAATTTAGAAATATTATTAAAAAAAATGACGTGAAAATATTTGTGTGAATAAAATGAATCAATTTTACTGCCAACAGGACTATCTTGAATATTCCAGTTTTTAAAAAAACATTTTTAAAATTTATCATCATATACTGTACAGCAGGGGTCACCAACCTTTTCGGGGCCGAGGGCTACTTTCTGGGTACAGATTAAGCCGCGGGCTACCAATTCAATGTACACTTCTAAAAAGTCGCGGCTGTGTGGTCATCGTTAGTGTGCTAAGCGTTAGGTTCGCAGGTTAGAATCTCATGCGAGGATAGTTATGTGCGAGAGAATTGCTAGACCCCTTGCCGCCGTTGGGATGGCTTCCTTCGCCACCAAGTCCCTGCTTACGAAAACAAATAACTAACTAATCCCATACCCGACATGAAATGGTAACTGGTCGAGAGGCCTTGGTTCGCCATATGGTTAAGCCGTCTTATCGGCTATCGTCTCCCCCGGGATAAATATGTAAATCCCATCCTATCCTGAGTTTATGTCAAAAATGTTAATTCACAAAGATAGGTCAAACGAAACAATGGTCTCGTATAATAGAATTGCTGTATGATTTGAACCGAGAGCTTTTTCTGCCCGTACTGCGCTGACCAGTGGATAGTTAGCGCGGTAGATTGCGTGACAAGCCGTGAAATATCTTTTCGCTTCGCCGTCGCTACAATCACCCCACATATGAGACACACGCAGGCTGTTTTCCTGGTGGTAAAAATATATCCACCCCCATTCATCGTGAAAACGGTGGGTTTTTCATCGTTTTTCTGCCATTTTTCTTTGGAATCAATATATATATTATTGCTGCTCTACAAACCAACGGACAAGAAAAAGCGCGGGTTTGTGGTAAGTGATATCCAACGACTAACATACCGTGATATCCGTGTAAATGTCATAATTGGAAGAGTGTTGATTGACCCGTCACATTACTGAGGTCAAATAAAAATCAGGTTGATGGCTACAATAATTAATATAGTGCCATTTTCGATTCCCATATAAGTGTGATTTATACAAGAATAGCAGGACACAATTTATTTGATGTAGCCTACTCCTAAGAGCCGTTATTAAGCTTAGTTTGGAACAGACCTGCGGACGACTCATATGGTCTTCACGGGCGACTTGGTGCCCGCGGGCAACGCGTTGGTGACCCCTGCTGTACAGTAATACTCAATTCCGATAGCATGAATTTGAGAATGGAATTTTAGACCAAAAAGGACCCTCTACCTCAGGGGTCGACAACCTACGGCCCGCCGAGTAATGTAATCCAGCCTGTGACGCTTCTGTTTTGACGATTATATTCTTTACGTAACAGATTTGACTGTGAGACACTTGCAGACTAAATTATATTATAATCTAACATGTATAAAATTCACAATTACTCGTTTAATGAGCCTATAATATGATTATAATTAGACAAATGGCAACAAAATGCAGAAAAGTTTATGCTAAGTGCAAAGGGTTCAATGGCGCCGTAAATATTCAAATGAGATTTTTTGAGATGCAATGCAATGAGGAAATAAATATATAGAGATGTATCACTGCTTGATTTTTATTATAAAAAGTATCATCATCAACTTTCTAAAAATATGTGCGGCCCCGCTAATGACTTGCACCCCTCAATTTTGGCCTGCGAGCGACAAAAGGTTGCCGACCCCTGCTCTACCTGAAGGTACAACAAATTAACGATCAGTTGTTGGATCTACGAATGCATTAGAGATCTCAGACGCAAACAAGATGTCGACCTAACTCATCGTGGAGGTAACTAATATTGTTCACCTACTTTACATCAAGTTGTTTAAAGGGACTGAAACCTATAAACAAATGACAATTCACTTGGCTAACACAGACAGTCCCTGAACTCGTAATAAAACTAAAATAAGGAAAATCGGAATAAAATTAGGGTCAACCCTAACCTGGTACACACACTATGAGAGTACCATTACATAAACATGAAGCTCCCAAAATTTCAACTGCTTCTTCAATGCCTTGCTCAGGGTGAATGGACGAAACATCTCTCGTGTCAAAATCAATAACTGATACCTTATCAGTAAAATCAGCATTCAATAATAAATTGTTTTAACATCAAAATTCATTTTGCAAATATCATCTGTTTGGGCAAATGAACGATTTTGACAAGCCAAAAATAGTATTCGAATGTACCAATACAGATAGAGAGCTAAAATTTGGGAAAATCCATTTTTCATTTATTTCATTGCACAGTTTGCAAATGTTATGAGAAATCCAACCTTTGATTCTTTCGCAATCAAGTGAAGTGTCATCACTTTCCGATGTCGATGATTTGCCAGTTGACACTCTGAACCCCTTTTTCATACGTCCGCTTCCAAAGTGGGGACGAAACTTATCGAAAAATGAATGCTTTTTTCGTAATGTTTGAGGACTCTCACCAATACCTGGAAAACAGATATCGTTATAACATGCAAATGTGGAAATAAGCTAAACAAGAATTCTCTTACATACAGTGAAGTTAAAAATATTTCTGCTGCTGTCATACATTTTACAAATCTAAAATGCCAATGAAAAGTTGACGAATGATTTTAGGAATATTACAACAAGATACGGAATATACATTCATTGAAAAACTGACAAATTTCAAAATCAAGTCATTTTTTGCACAAAAAAGTTGGCATTACTATTTACTATTATATAAATAGATTGCAACTATAAGTCAGCGATTCACTAAATCTTCAAGGGCTAACCACACGACACACACAGCATTCAAACGCATTGTCACATCACAGATATGGGTGATTGAATATGTATAGCGAACAATACCTTTGTCTTTACCCTTTGAGTAATCAACAGCATTATTATTGGTATTCAATGCCGGAATATCAAACGGTGATTGGTTGGTCGTTTTATGATTGGCAAGAGAATTTTCAGTTTTGGATTGATGCATAGATGCAAAATATTCCAAGCCATCACCTAGAAAAAACATTGTGTGCATAAATGTATTAGAACATTTCTAGAATTTTCCAATAAAAATATTGATCAGACAGTTCATTTTTTATACCATCAGGTATTAGCGGGACAACTGCTGAATTAGTACTCATTGACTTTGTGACTGTATAATTTAATAAAAAATAAATTTTAGGTCAGAAGCTTAATTCCAATTTCAGCCAAAGGATACAAAACATGCACATTTTTGGGAGAAAAATGTCACACAATTGAACAACAAAACACCCTGGCTGAGCACTCGGCCAACAAACCCCCAAACTCAAATCACCTTGCTTTAAATTAGGCTTCTTGTCAAATTTCATGCTCGCAGATTTTCTGATAATTCCTGGCGTTGAAACAGTTGGAACATTCTCGTTATCTTCTGCATCAAAACCCGGTATTGACGTCCCCATTTGTCCTAAGCTGAGGCTTCTTCTTTTTTCTAATTTAGTTTTCATATCTTCCATCCTTTTATTGCTTTCTTTGTTATAATCCATTTCGGATGTTCGGATATCAGTTACACAATTATCAGTTCGTCTCAAAACTTCAGAACTAGAGCCTGGAAATAAGTTTTGTAATGTTAGCATTTCAACTTGGGGGAAATATTAGGGCAAATATCCACTGCCTGTTGATACCAAGAAATATCTGCCAGGGTGTCACTACATTAGAGCTAAGATCTGAAGCCTGAGCCTGAGAAATATCGGGTCGGGTCGGGCCTGAAATATCAAGCATTGCGTTCAGGTCGGGTCGGGCCTATATTGTCAATCATTACGTTCAGGCGGGCCTAAAATGTCAAACATTGCGTTTGGGTTGGGTCGGGCCTGAAAAGTCAATAATTGCGTTCGGGTCGGGTGGGGCCTGATTTGTCAATCATTAGGTTCGGGTCGGGCCTGAAATGTCAATCATTGCGTTCGGGTCGGGCCGGCCTGATTTGTCAATCATTACGTTCGGGTCGGGCCTGAAATGACAATCATTACGTTCGGGTCGGGCTTATATATCGCTGGATTTTTTATAAGTAAATATATGTTTATAAAAAATATGTACTAAAACTATGTGCGGATACTAAACGAAGGAATACTTGTTATAAAAGAAATACTTTGAATAAAGCAGAGAAGAAACTGTAATGGACCTTTCCCCGACCTTTGACCCCCCTCTAAATTATTCTTCCTATACTTTACCATTGCAAAATTTTCGGGGCTTATTTTATTTTTTAATAGTGGTTTCGAGTAAAATGGGGTATTTACTTCAAACCATCATTATATTTCATCGCATGCAACAATCTGTTTTTTTTTAAAAGTACCGGTTAAGAATTTTAGCCTAGTCTATCACAGCAATTACACAAATTTCTATTTCAATTAAATTAAAACTCCTAGGAAGACAAAGGGATATTTGAATTATCTGATTTATATTTAAATTTTCAAAACAAAACTGAAAACTAATGATTAGCGTTCGAAAACGGGGTAGTGTTTACGACCACACCCGAAAATCTGTCTTGACTTTTGAGCGAGAAAAGTGTCGAAGCGGATGCGAAAACGGGGCATTGTTACATCACTTTTTCATATTGCTGATTGGCCAATGTCATGCTCAGTGCACGCGTCGTGAACACTGATTCTTAATAATCTTCCCGTCCGCAAGTTCGCGTGATTTTAACCTAGTATTGACGATATGGAGCAGCAAGAAGTGAAGGATAAACTAAAGACAGGGGAACTGAAAAGAAAAACACACACCGGTAAGAGTGAGGTGTGGAAAACGTTCAAACTGATTGTTGAAAATGCTACAGAAACTTGCGTCGACTTCGCTGAGTGTCAATGCGGAATATTGCTTGCATGCGATAGCAAAAAGACTGGCACGTCGACGCTGAGCAGGCATTTAAAAACCTGTACTGGCAAAAGTCATGATCGCCAATCATCTATATTATCATTTGCCCCAAAGACCGTCCCTCTTCGCGCTAAGCGGGCCATCACAGACAAGTGTGTGAATTTTTGCTGTCAAGACCTCAGACCATTTTCAGTAGTTAGTGGCGAAGGTTTTAAAAGTCTGGCCCGTGAACTGATCAATGTTGGGTCAACTTTTGGACGCGCACCTGTCGACTCTGTCCTGCCTCACTACACCACAGTGTCAAACGCGTGCACCGAGAAGGCTAATGTAAAAAGAAGCTTGTTAATTACGCAGGTAAAGAAGGCTATGGCAAGCGGCTGTGACGTCGCCATGAGTACCGATATGTGGACAGATGATTTCAAAAAGAAGAGTTATATTGCAATAACTTGTCACTTTACTGAAACGGACTTCAACTTGGTTGGAAAAATCCTCACCACTGCTGTATTTCCAGCAGAAGACGCCAAAACGGGGAAGAATATAAGAAGAGAACTGGTACGGCTTCTGGTGAATACATTTGGTTTGGAACAATCATCTTTATCCGGAATAGTGTGGGTTACAGATCAGGGCAATAACATCGTGAAAGCTTTGGAGCCTTACAAGCGCATCTCGTGCCTTGACCATGTTATCAACACTGTCCTTCGCCATGGGCTGGACAAGGACGCACTGTCTGAAAACGCCCCAGACATTGGAGACAACCTTTCATATTTGTGTTCGTGTGCAGCAAGACTCTTGAATTGAATAGAACTGCAGTCAAGAGTGTTGTCCGTTTCACCAAGCAATCTGGTTTGACAGCACAACTATCAAAAACAGTGCTTCAGATGGGCGAAACCAGATTCAGCACCGTCTATTTGACACTCAAGTCTGTGCGCGAGATATATACCGAGTTGTGTGGGAAGCTGCAGTCACGCGGAGAGGGGGGGCGCATGGACAACATTGCAACAGATATGTTGGATTTTCTGATCTGAGTGGGAAAACGCGGATGATGACGATGATGCACCTGTTCAAGATGAAGTTAGCCTGTACATCAGTCAAAGGCATGCCATGGATGATGACCGAGATTTGCTTGGCTGGTGGAGAACAAACTCCTGTATATACCCTAGGCTCGCCAAGTTAGCAAGATCCGTGTTGTGCATACCAGCAAGCAGCAGTGAGCGAGTTTTTAGCGCAGCTAGCCGCACGATAGACCAGCGGAGAAATTCACTGAAACCTGGCACAGTGGGCGCAATCTTGTTCTTACATGACGACCACCGAATGTAAACAATGTAAGTAATATCTTGTTGTTCAATTCGCCATTTTAATTATAGTCTGAGGCTTTAATTATTTCCCTTATTTGTGTAATATTTTGTGTTTTGTGTAATCTTTTGGCCCATGGCCCAATATGGAATAAATTCGAGATTAGAAACTATTTTTCAGGTTCTGATTTCATAAATATTAAATTTCGAAATTTAAAGTTTCGTAGTTCTTTGGATGATGATGCTTATTCATTGCTTTTTAACGGCATACCTCGTTTAATTTAATGTGCCGCACAAGTGGAGTGCAGCGGGACATCTGACACACGTTTTTGAATGTCTCTTGATGATAATATGTGTGTCGCTAGGGAATTTCTTAGTTTGCCCAGTAAAACCTTTAGCTACCTTCTATCCATTAGCCCCGCATTGTCAAATGAATGTGCAGATTATAGAGCTCACAAAAGAAGAAATATGTCCCAGCATTCCCCTATACTGTACTAAACTCTTGCAATGACAATTCGAAGAACTCCTAAATAAAATATGAAATTTGCGAATCCAGTTAATTTGTCGGGCCTGCAAAGCCAGTTAGTTAGTCGGGTTGGGCCTGCAAATCCATTTAATTAGTCAGGCTCGGGTCGGGTTTTAATACCCACGGGCCCGGGTCGGATCGGGCCTGCAAATCCAGTTAATTAGTCGGGCTAGGGTCGGGCTTTATTACCCACGGGCCCGGGTCGGGTCGGGCCTGCAAATCCAGTTAATGAGTATTCAGGAGGTCACCTGTGAATGGGTTGCTGTAAATGTCACAATTGGATTGAAAATCAATACAAACTATCGACACCTCAAAACCAAACAGTGCTAAGTCCACTTTTCCAAAAAATGACATTTTTCAATTGCTGATTTTCCTGGACTTAGCTCTACATTTTGGTCTATTTGCCTTATCTCTAGGTGCTCTAGATCTCAAGACAGCTATGGACATAACCCTGCTTTTTTTAGGGCATTTGAGAACTAAACAGAGCTGTGTCTACTATAGTGGACTTAGCTCTGGATAACTGCATTGTAAGTTGGGGCTAAGTCCGTTTTTTGACATAGCTCCTCTCAAAAAATATAATACAAAGCGCTAAGTCCATACCAGCCTCTATAATAACAAAATAAAGGGGCCCTAAGTCCAATAAAATTGTTCCTGGTCCAGAAAATTGAGAGCCAAAAAGGGTTAAGTCCAAAAAAAAAACCCCAAAAAAAAATTGGGGCGGAGCACAAATTTTTTTATACCATCTAAATATGGCCTTTATTGTAACTTTGGTGGACCATAAAAACTAGACATCCTCGATGTAAGGTATTAGAGAAATAAAAAAAAAAAAAAAAAAAAAAACGTTTTTTGCGTTTTTCTCAAAACTAGAAAAATGGACTTAGCCCAATTTGGATTTCATGCGTCGCTATGTGTTAACATCATAAAATCAAAGTATCTCCTTTTTTAAAGTGCTTTTTCTGTAGAGCTTTGCTCAGAGTGAAACTGTGAAAACACCCCAGAAAAAATAGCTAAAAATAAATAATCTTCATAAAATAATATATTACAGTTCAAAATTACCTCTTCTTAAATCTGCCACATTAACAGAAGGTTTATTGCTTGTGGATTTGTTGAAAGAACTGATTCGGGTTGGTGGTTTGGGAGCTTGGCGTTTTTTCTTCTTCTGACTGAGTGGGATGACTGGTGAAAAAGATGGGTTCACACTTTTTGACACTTTCGCATTGCCGGTTAGCGCACTGAAAAGTATGATGTAAAGTAATGTAAATTAATAGCTTATTTATTTCTCGTAAGCTCATAGTATGATCTACACCAGATCCGACTCCACCGCACATCTCGACCTATGTTTTGTCATGATATTGGTAAAATCTGAAAATTCTGCTTCACACATTGCAACAAAACCTCGTTGCGGGGCCCCTCGACCCCAGTTTGGGCAACCCTGATCTACAGAGTGGGTAAATAATATGAGTCCAGGCACTTAGAGATGCAATAACAACTTGTCAATATTACAAGTAATCATGGAGACATGTTAATAAGGTCATACTTATTAGCATCATAGTTATTCTCAACATTTTGGTTAAAAGTGCAGGATTGATCTTAAAAGTAGGCTAGCATAAAGTACAATATAGTGAGTACAGATTTTCATGCATTTATCTCGGGTATATATCTTCAATACTGAAATATGTGTGTGCTTTATAATCCTTGATGTGCCGCTTCCAGTAGTTACTTACAAAAAAAATAACCTAGTGTTACTACGGCACAAAGATGTGTTAGGCAATATGAACTGACCTTGGAGACGGATTTGTTGGTTTTATAAATACATCATCATCTTTTGTTTGAACTTGTGATGAAAGAGCTGAACAGGATTGGGAAGGTAAAATAGCAAAATTGAAATTCATCAAACGGCGGTAATTTAGAGTATGGAGGCCTAATTAAAATGGACTGTACATATTTTTTCAATGTTCCAACTTGAAACTGCAGCATCAGATTTTAAATTGGATGCCAGAAGTAATAAAAAATATTGAGGTGCAGAAATGTGTGCAGTGCACTCAATGTGTTCGATATATAACATAACAGTAGCCTATTACAAAAAAACAAAAAGTCATTGTATATTTATATATCATGGACAATTGTTCTAAAACATAACACAGCTATTATAAAAAAAAATTGAAAAGCTAATCGAAGCGGCCAAGTTTTAACCCTGGGTAAGCAAACAATGACTTTGAACAATGAGCATCTAATGATCATACTTTGATTTGGAGATCCGGCACTTGGTCTGGTTAATACAACATCTGGGATCAGAGCTGATGAATTAGACTGGTTGCTTCCACTGTCTTGTTCACCAGGTTGTAAGTCCTCATTTGTCTTTATAATATCAGGTGGTGGTGGAGGTGGGGGAGGAAGAGGTTCGTCAAAGTCATCAACACACATCGAAGATTCAGGCGGCTGTAGTTGTTGTTGATGTCGTTTTTTACGAACAGCAGGAACTGGTAGTTCTAATACTGCATCATCGCTATTCTCCACTTTGCTGTAATATTTTCAAACTTTTTTATGAGATTCTATGTCTGTCTGAATGAAGTTTATTCTGGAAATTTTCCGGCAATTCGCCAAAGTGTGAGGTGACTGAAGTTGCACCATATTTGTCGCAATTTGACTGATGTAGAAAAGACCAAGAAGTACATAGGTTTGATATTAGACCATAATCTACATTTTTCCTAAAATTTGTATCATTTTCTACCATCTTGTTCAAACATCTTACTTTGCGATAGAAATGTCATCATAAAATCATGTCATTCCAAACATATTCACATGCATTCAAACACATTAAATATTCAAATAAATTACAAATTTGTTAATCGACATAGTTTATTGTTGAATTCATGAGTATTAAAATTTTAAATTTTCATTTTGACATCTGACTGTCAAACTGTAAAATAAGTTCACTTTTAATGAGTAATGACCAATGAAAATAGTAAACCAACAAAAACATTACAACACAATATTTGAAAAAACGAAACTATACCATGTTTTCTTTCTTGGAAGACTCGGTGGAGCGGGTTGTGCTGGTAATTCGGGTGCATCATTTGATTCTTTGAATAACTTATCGAGATTTTTATGAATTTCTTCAAATGTAGGTCGAAGATTTAAATCCCATTCCCAGCCTTCAACACAGAAAAGTATAAAAATTCTCAGTAAATAATGAAAAGAGACCTGGTCATTTTTTTTGTCTTAACCAGAAAAAACCTAATACTCTCTATTATAGCAACAAGCATTGAAGATTGATAGGCATTAGGCAATATAAAGAAACAAACAATAGTAAAAAAATGGTTGAAAGATTCAAGGTGAATCAGACATAAGATAATTTAAAGAGTTGTATAATAACAAATTGACGAAATCATATTTCAACTTATGGAAGGACATTACTATTTTGAATAAGAACAGCAGGAACAAAAAATTTATATTCGAATGTTTTCAATGTCAAATTTCCTCAAAATTAAACCAAATTAGCTTGTGTCATCTCTAATAAAAGTTCTAAGGAAATCTTATTTTTGTATTTTTCAGATCTGTACAGCCTAGCCCTAAAATGGACATAAGTCACTATCTACAAGCAAAGCCAAACAGGTACAGCTTTGAAACTGACCAAAACATAGGGTACTTCTTGTCCATAATGACAGAAGACCAAATAAATCGGATTCAGAAAAAAGTGACATAAGCTAATTTCATTTTACTGCGGCGATATGAAGCCATTACTATTCCAATACACAATTTTGTATATTCCTTCAGAATATCACCATATTGCTAGATTAGAGTTTGAATTTTTCCAACTTACATTTGAGCATAATTTCATACACAGGAATAGGACAATTGGGTGGGCATTGCATACGATATCCATCTTCTAGTTTTTCATAAACTTGAGTCAAATCTACCCCAGGATATGGTGACATACCATATGTTGAGATTTCCCAAAGCAAGATACCAAAAGCTGGAAAAAAGTTAAAATAATAAGTGGCAAGTAGACGTGGTACTCATGATCAACGTGGTCATTATGAACATTTTTATATATGAATATGGCGTTTTTATAGGTTTTTGCTTTGATCAAGGCTCTGCACACAAGAAGCCCGGGATATGCATGAAAATAGCCTATTTTTTATAGTACCAGAATCTCTCCGATTAGGCAAATTTATCACACCTCGGATGAGGTGGTGAGCACGGAATGTGTTATCTACGGTTCCAACACAGTGTGAAGTTTTAACCACTAGGTCAGAGCCCCAGAAGAAAGATAAATGGGGTTGACGCTAAATGCTAATCATAGAAACACGCCTACCATCACACCTCAAACTACCTTGCTTTGAATTAGGTTTTAGATTGTAATTAAATGGAGTAATTTGGTTGGATCTATTTGAATTTGATTGCCAACATTCAACACAATGAATGAGTTATATTAAATTGTGTCAGTTTAATGTTAATATTCAGAATGGAAATTGAGCGGTATCATGATAAGCTCATGCTTCCGAAAACAAATAACTGGCTAACTAATCCCATCCCCGACATGAGCTGGTGACCAGACGAAAGGTCGAGGTTCGCCGAATGATAAGCCCAGAGCCCTCTTATTGTCTTTCCCCTTCCAAAGATAAATATGTAAATCTTATCTTATGATGAACATGTACGTATTTTTTGATAAAGATCAGCTTACACCAAACATCAGATTTTGTGGAAAATCTGTTGAAAGCAAGGCTCTCTGGTGCCGTCCATTTGATTGGAAATTTTGCTCCTGCACGAGCAGTATAGTCATCACATCCAGACATTAGACGTGATAAACCAAAATCAGCAACTTTGACAACATTATTTTCTTCCACTAAACAATTTCTCGCAGCAAGATCCCTGAAAAATCAATAGATTTGTTTTTATTATTGCTAATTGGCAGTATCTCATAATTCTATCATTAATTCATAAGTTGGTACATGGGCCACGTGCCTCACACCATGGCCTAACAATCTCAAGTTAAATACCTTTGGTTTGAGTGAGAAAGTCAATTCACTCCCACTATTTTATCCAGTATAATTAATAAATAGCGTAGTGTATGCTGAGATGAAGATTTTGATGCTTTTAAACTAAGCATATTCTTAAGTACACATTAACCATTATAGCAATATGAATTTTATTAGGCGTATAATTAAAGAAAATACCTATAAAGAATTTCTTAAAATTCATTTATATACATTCCGTTGTATAATAATGCACAAATTCAATAATGGGGCTATTTTCAATCAGTCAAAACACAAAACCTCCTAAGATGATTATATATGAAAACTTTGTTTGCCAAAAAATTATGACTGTTCTCAGTTAAAATAATAAATCACTAATGAACAACTGAAATTTCAAAAAAACGAAATTAAAATATATATTTTAAATTTATTGGAACATCAACAATTAAGTCCTATCTTATATCATGATTCAGTTCATTTATACAGCTCAATAAATCTGAAATTGTCCCTCCTTAAATAATTTCTTGATACGAGATAAATCTCGCCAATATTGAAGACTTAATTAATTTGAAACATTTGAATAAATTGTTAAAACTGTATTTGTAACCATATAGAAAGATAATGACAAAATAATAAAATACACACCTATGAATGTAATTTTTCTGCTCTAAATACTCCATAGCAGAAGAGACTTGTGTTACCATATATAAAAGCGTTATTGCATCGATGCAAGTCCGATCACATTTCCGTAAATATTCTAACAAATTTCCTCTGCTCATAAATTCAGTTACGATGTAAAATGGAGGTTCTTGTGTACAAACACCTAAAAATATTTGTTCACAAATATGAATGATCAAATGAATTAAATATGAGAGTGTCAATTTAGTCATGGTGAACACAGTAAATTCTTGTTATAATTTTGAGAAGTCTCTGACCAATATGCCACTAAGATTCTCAAAGGGTGACATGGGTGATAGCGCGTTCTCAAAAGGTCAGAATTATTTTGAAACTTGTCTTGTCATTTGACATCTGGCAAATATCCGCTTATAAATACGATGTGGAGCGAGACCATGGATGCTCTCATTTCTAACATATTATTTGATTCAAGATTAGGTGTTCCAGAAGTGTGCGTAACAATATTGTGTTCGCCCACTCTACATCGAGTTGTGTAAAGGGACTGAAATCTATGGGCAGGGGGTACATTAACTTGGCTAACACAGACAGTCCCCGAACTCGTAATAAAACTAAAATAAGAAAAATCGGAATAAAATTATGGCCTAACCCTAACCTGGTACACACACTACGAGTACCCAAGATTATACCTGTCCAAAATGATCACCAAGTTCATCACCATGGACTATGATTAGGCAAAGCTAAGGGGCAACAGTACATACTTGTCTTTGGGAACCACTGCACTATGTGACTATGATATGACTGAAGTTTGAAACAGGTACACCGCTACTACATTATTATTGTTGTTTCTCACTCAGATCCAGAAAAAAAAAAGGTGTCAAGCGCTGTCATACATTAAAATAAATTATGTTGGAATGTTCAGATTGAACAATTAAGAGCAACACATACCTCTGATTTTTAATTAAACACAGAAACCAAATATAGTGAATTCATAATAATGAAAATAATAAAGAAATAATAAAGAAAATTTTAATAGCATATCAATTCACCTAGTAATTGGACTAAATTAGGATGTTTGACATATTTCATGACGGCCGCTTCTTTCAGAAAATCTTCTGTATTTGTTGTGTCCTCCCTCAATGTTTTTACAGCAATTGTTTTGTTATACCTGAAAAGTAACCCCTATTGGAATTGGGATTAATTTTATCAAAGACTGATATAAAATCAAAACTGAGGATGGTCGAAATCAATAAATCTACCGGTACTATTGCCAAATATACTTTAAAATAATATTTCAGAATATGAAATACCGAAATATTATTTTTGCAGTGTTCAACAAATACCACATAGAAGTCTAGTTTCTATTTTTCAGTTTTTGGAGTCCGGATTCTAATTAACAGTCCTTTCTGGCCACATTGTCAGACTTAATTAATTTGATCGTGATTTTTTCAAATTATCTGTAAAATCAAAATTTGCAATATTGAATATACAATTAATTCTGAATTTAGATACTTCAAATTTGGCTTTGAAATCTGACAAAATATTTGTGCACAAGTTCATGCTGAAATATCATATCATATCTAACCCATAAAATTATGTTATACAAACCGTTTCCATAATGCTTCATAAACATCCCCATATTGTCCTCCACCTAGTTTTTGTTTCATGAGAATTTCAGTTCTGTCAATTTCCCAATGATCAAAGTCTGGTGAAAATCCAAATGCCTGAAAGAAAATGTTAGAAGTTTGTGGACAGACAATTAGACAAAAGTTACACAACGTAAGGAGAAAATCACATTTTCTATTTCAAACGTAAGGAGAAAATGGAAATTTTTATTACATAATAACTGTTACAAAAGCAAACAGCCAATCTTCTTGAATAATTTAACTTTACTTCTATGAATATAATTTCTACTCACAGTTGGTCTTGTTTTCTTTGAAGCAGGATAATGCAAAATAGTAACCAGACCATCTGGTACATATGAATGATGATGAACTAATTCGGGTAAAGTTTTGAATTTGTGCTCAGCTGAAATGTAATATTTCTGAAAAAAAAAAAATGATAAATATGAACAATGGAATATTGCATAAATACAGGGTAACTGTTAACAAAGTTATGCAAAAATGAGGTAAAATTTTTCGTCATGGCATAACGTTCACATAGCAATATAACATTTTGAAATCAAGAATACGGTAAAATATAATACTGTGTTTGAGCTGTATCATTTGACACTAGTTTATAATTTACCTTATCAGCATCAGTATTAATACGATAATGATACACTCTGCCATCAAACCTAACTGATACAGACAATTGACCAGGGCAGCTCTCTGAATCACGCACCTGTGAATATTTATAAAATAAATAAATAAAGTAATTTAGTCTGGTACTCCTTGATGTAGGCTACTGATAAGAACATGGTATTGTTGAGAGCAAATCAAGACATAATTACAAAAAATGAGTTTCATTAGTTTCAAAAATATTAGAAATTCAGACACTTGAACAAGATTGGTCACTCAACAGTAAACTCAACAGGCTTTTAATTGCTATATCCGTTGAACACCAGAGAATAATGTTATTATTATCCATCTTTTAAATCACTCAAGTTATACAAAAACACTTTCCAACAAGACTTCTCAAGTGAAATTTTATTAATTAATAAAAACTAAACGATGTAAAATGCTTACCAAAAAGCTTCCATTAATTCCACTACTTAAAAGATATTCAGCGGCAGCTCTAGAAACAGCACCGTGGTACCAAGAATGTTTTTCTAAACTTGCAGCCGGGGTAATATAATTGCTGGGTACCCATCCCCGACTACCAATTGATTCTTTCAGATCTTCCGAATCACTGACACTAATAATTTCACCTTCGCACCATTCTCCAGTATGATTGTATTGCATAACATGTAGCTGACATCCTATATTCATAAAAATGGGATGAATATTAATTGGTTGTTTTATATACTATGTAGTATGTATAATGCACATATTTCATGAGAGAAAACTTTATATTTGGTTGACTATATTCAGATATTATTGGTTGCATAAGAGTTAGGAATCAGAATAAATGTAGCAAAATATCAGTCTTAGGAGCCTCTGCGTTTTTTGTTGGGAGCAGGTCTTTACAATTTCACCCTTTTTTTGTTTGTCCTTGATCAATGTTTATTTCAAACCTGGCATTATTAATAACAATACTGATACTTTTTAGCTAAATATGAGTGTGAAAATTCTCACGAAAGTAGATTGTTAACTGATCAGAACCCCATGAATATTAAAACTTATCTCAAAATACCTTTTGATATTGTAAGCTGATTAATTCCTCCTGCTTCAAAGGGATAGAGAGCAACAAATATATGAGAGTCTAGTATTTTAGAAGACATTTCAAATTTTTTTAGAAGTTCACATCTGATGCGGACATATTAAATCCCAGATCAGCGAATCTGCTCCATCAATATTCACTGATTTGTAATACAGTAATATCTACAATCACTCAATCTAATTCTGAAATGATAATTGATCATTAGAAAAGAGAATATTTTGGAAATCATAATTCCATGTTATCCCAATTGAGATGAAAATCATTCTATCATATCTGCATATCCGACATGCCCATGTTCTATTTGATACAGTAATAGAGGCAAAATATTACAAAATGTTTTGGAGAATCCATAAAATCATGGCTGTGTTTTCAATAAATGGATTTTCATATTAACCCAGACAGCCAGAAGAGAAAACAGGAAAACTTAAAATCCTGTTTAACTAGGTCAATATGTCAAATACAGTCTTTCATCCAGTTATTGAGTTACCAGACCCTGTCCACCAGGGGAAGAGTTTACCACTGTGTTTCCCGAAAATAGGACAGTGCCTTATCTTATCCCGCTTCATCGCTCACACGTTTTAGATTAATTATTCAAAACGTGTAGGAGTGATTTCTTGCTATCGACTAGGTCAAAAAAGTTTCACATTTTAGACTAGGTCTTATTTTAAGGGTAGGGCTTATATTAAAATCAATTTTAAAGTTTGGGCTAGGTCTTATTTTCGAGGAAACACGTTAGTTATTTTTCTCATATGCATGGACCTCATGTTTTGGTGGTCGTGAGAGATGGATGTAATTGACCAACAGTCAATTAAGGTTGACCAACAGTCAATTAAGGTAAACCACACTACTGTACTGTACCGTGTTAGTGCTGTGATGAGAGTCCATCAATGCTTGACTTAAAATTATATTATATCAAATTTAAATGTCTGAATGTGGAACCAACTCTTACTCAAGGTAAGGTACGGTACCGGTAGGATTTACATATTTATCCCGGGGGAGAGGAAAGCCGATAAGACGGCTTATCCATATGGCGAACCACGGCCTCTCGTCCGGTTACCATTCCTAGTCAGGTATGGGATTAGTTTTTTACTGTATTGTTTATTTTCGGAAGCATGGACTTGGTGGTGGAGGAAGCCGTAACCGACCAGCGGTTACGTGAACCACCCAACGACGGCGAGGAGTCCAGCAATCCTCTCGCACATAACCATCCCTGCATGGGATTCGAACCTGCGAACCCACGCAGAGTAATTAGAGGTGCGGTGGCGAGCGTATTCCTAACGCTTAGCCCGTTGAGCCACACCGCCGCGCCGGTACATTAATAAGACGGGCGATGGCAAGTGTGTTCTTATTTTCTAACGCTTAGGCCTATTACTGTATTACAATCTGCCAACCGTCATACCACCAGTGAACCCACAGTCAACCAAATCAGACAAGCAATGCTCTGGCTTAAAATTATATCATATTTAAATGTGTGAACCAACTCAAGGTAAAGTACCAGTACAGTAATAAGACGGACAATGGCAAGTGTGTTACTATTTTCTAATGCTCATTACAATCTGCCAACCGTCATACCGGTACCAATGAACCCACAGTCAACCAAATCATACGGTACAACTACCGGTAATTGCTAGCGAAAAACATGTAAGTTACCAAACTAGCCAATACGGTACCGGTAACAATTTCTGTACTTCGATGCAAAAATGCAATTTGATTCCTGTGTTCAGCAGTTCAGCGTCTCATGTAGTTTCATACTTCAGTACTTAACGTACTTCTAAAGTTCTAGTGGGGGTACCGGGGACAACACTAAAAGGCTGAAAGAAGAAACGGATGAGGTGGAGGAAAAACGGAAGTTGAGGTGTTCCCAAAGGTGAAAAATTGAAAAACACTAAAAGGCTGAACACTAAAAGGAGGAAGTGGATGAAATTTCCTCCTTCCTTTCAGTGTTCAGCTTTTTAGTGACTTCAACCACATCAACACCCGTCGGGAGAAATTTCATCCACTTCTTCCTTTTAGTGTTCAGCTTTTTAGTGACCTCAGCCACCTCACCACCTGTAGTAGAAAAATTTCATCCACTTCTTCCTTTTAGTGTTCAGCTTTTTAGTGACTTCAACCACATCAACACCCGTCGGGAGAAATTTCATCCACTTCTTCCTTTTAGTGTTCAGCTTTTTAGTGACTTCAACCAATGACATTAAACAACATGATAGGCAACTCTGACGTCACTCCATAAGACTACAGGCAAAACATTGTATTTCATGATACGCTCCAATGCACATATTTCTCGTCGCCTTTCGCGTCCGTTTTCCGCTCGCTTTTGCTACTCGGCGTCTTTTTTACGTGTAGTACCTGTCTTTTTGCGCCTGTAACGAAACAAAATAATCTCTATATCTAAGAAGTTTTGCTTACTTGGAAAGCTGGAATAACAGGCAAGCTGTAAAGAGCAATTCTGGACATCATAGACGTTTTTTTTATCAGAGAAGATTACAAACGCGATAGCGGAAAGATTTGTGTGGAACATTTTGCAGATAATGACAAAGTTCAAAGTTAGTAATTTTAATGTTTGCGCTTAATCCTTGAAATTTCATTTAAAGAGGGTGTCATACAAAACTGTGCTGCGATACAATTCCATAACACAAAGTTTGCACCTATCGAACTTGCTTTTGTAGGTGAATTTATTAGACATATTACATATTCAGTTAATCGTAGGTAACATTGCTGGTACATAATGCATCATAGAGGTTTGTTTAAATTTAGGAATTTAGCCCACTAATTAATATTATCTTCTATGCAGGAGGTTGCAGGGCTGAATTCAACTTGCAGCCTTACCGATCACCTGACGATGCTCATTTAGTTTGGCTCGAGCAAGTCTCCTTGAAATGCTTGTGTGGATGGAAACTACCTATATTTTTTGCCTTCCTCCGATTTTAGACAAATTTATTCTGAGGAATTTCGCATATAATTCTCACTGATTGTTGGCTGTTTATAATTCCTATTGATTGTGAATTCTGATTATAACAATGAGTTGAAAATTTTTTTACCTAATTTACTGGCACCTTTTTCTTGTCAATACTCCAAGCTGAGGTAATAAACATGACAATACATTTATGTCATCTGGAAGCAAAATATGCACACTAAGTAATAGTTTGGCACATTGAGATAATACATCATGACAGAAAATACAAGTTAAAGATATGTATGACCATCACATGGTAATTAAAATTAAAAAAAATTAATAGGGGCTGTGGAGTATGGAAAGTTCAAGACAAAGAAAAAGACAAATGTTCATAGCTCATGAACTCTCAATTTTGCCTCCATTGCTTTGTGAAGGCCAATATATTTCGAGTGGCTGAATTGGTTTACCTTCATGATAGCAACGATTTTGTATTTAATATAGCGAGATGTTTTCAATTTAATTGAAGTGATATAATCTCCCAAAGCAATGCTTGAATTTTCTAGAATAGATCAGTGGTGTCAAACTCATGGGTTTTCGAGAGCCGCATTGCATTTTGAAAATTGTAAAAAGAGCCGCAAACAGTTTTTGATAATGTATACTTAAAAGATATTTTTAAGATAGTTTTAGTTTGTGACATATATTGTGATGCAACTAAACAGTTGGATTAAGTTTTATTATTTTCTTCAATTTCAAATGCAATTACATATTAATATTTGCATTCCACTATTATTGCAACATTTGCAAGTTACAGTATTTATTATAAAAAATCGTAAAATTCTATGTACAACCATCAAAATCATTTTTGAACAAGCTTTGAATAAGGAAAGAATAATACATACACTAAAAATAACTTAATCTAAATATATGAACCTAAAATTAACAAAAATACTACAGTATAAACTCAATGTTTTAATAATTACATTTGTCCTGGCGTTTGGCATCTTTTTTGTGTCACCAGCATACTAAGGCCAATCTGAAATGATTTTATAGTACCAACTCTAACTAACGAGGCCACATGATCATGGGTTTATCTGGATCTTTACGAATGTTTAATTAATTCCAGTAATGCAAAAAAGTTACTTTTATCATTTCATGTATAGATCAGTAAAAAAACAAATGACAGATTTTTTCGACAAGACATTTCGCACTACATTGCGTGGCATAGGATTGCTTGAATTATTATTGATATTGATTTTTAGTAACTAAGTCGTTGTATAATTATATTAATATACAAACACATGGAAATTTTCTGTTCGAAGTTGGTCTTCGAATTTGTCATATTGACTGCTGAGCTTATTGTGTTTTTTGATTGTATTGATGGAAATATGACAAAATAAACAATGTGCTTCAGAATTTTGTGAAGAGCAGAAATGTTACAACTCCCATTTTCTTCGAAAATGCCACCTTCTTCATGTACTTTGCGTTTAATTTAATTACTCAAGTGTTTTATTCAAGTATTCTTTTGCTAGCTTGATGTGTATTCTTAATTGGGCCAAAATGTGGACAAAAAAAATCAATATTCCAAAACTACTTTCAGTAAATTGTTTTCTGTGTGAATAATTAATTTCACTTTAGAAGGTTTGAAAAATCTATTACATTTAGATAAAAAAAAAAAAACTTCCAAAATACTATTACAATTATTGTTAATCGAGGGCCGCACTGGAAGTTCTCTGGGGCCGCGAGTTTGAGATCCCTGGTCTAGATTGAAGTTGTTCAAAAAATATATGATAGTATTTTATCATGAATGATGATTATACCCCTTCCGGAATTTCTTCTATAGTACTACCAAAAGTTGATGAACCAAATATAACACAGGTGCAGTGAGGTACCCGTAATCCTCATTTTCAAAGCTGTTTTAAGTATGTCTGGCGTGTTTTGTGCCTTTTTACAAATAAGACCGCTTAAGCAATCTTACGCTTTGAAATTTTTAGTTATTTTCCTCAAGCCCTGCAGGATGTGGGGGCCATACACAACTCTACCGGAGGGTCAAATGTCTTTGCATGCCTCCATAGGTTGTTTTTCTATTGCATATTTATATTTTCAATTGCATTATATTTCTTGGAATCACACTGTCACTGATATGTCGCCAGACTTCTGATATCTCCCCGTCTGCTATAGTTGTCCTGTGAATAAATAATAGGAAATTGAGATTAGACGAATAGTTGAAAGTTTTGCTTATGTCGGCTTAATTTCTTGATTGATATACTTACTATTTCTGCTATTGC